TATTTTGTATTAATGTTCATATATTACCCTACACCTTTTTGTAGACTTGTATTTTTAAAAAAATACGCTTTGCTCATTTGGTTTAATAAACATATTTTACACAATTTAAATTAAATAAGCAGATAACAAAGACTTTGGCATTATGTCTCTACATATTTGATTCAGCGTTTTTCTATTCACGTTATCTACTTTCATATATACTTAACTTTTAAAAATAACAACATAAAACAGTACAGTTTTTAAAGTACTATAATGTTAGCCTATTTCGTAGTTTTTCCTTCACCTAAAAATTGACAGTATCTACGTTCTGCTGAGTGCCGAACTTTATCACCTTGGTTTAATATAACCCTTGGCAGTCGAAATAAATGAATCTCTTTAGATCTGCCGCTTCAAGTATCACAACCTTTTACTGCACAGATCGCCTTTTTGAATATGGACCTGTACACCGCGATGGCGGATGTTTACATACTGAACGATCCGTGACGTCATTTGCAAGGCTGGCACCAACCGCTGCTGTGTTAATCTATTTCTCTTGAAGCTCTGTAAACATGGAACCATTATGTCAATTTAACTCTAGCAGCCTGTTGAATCGATACGACAACGCTAGTATTAGTTTTAGGATGATTCATGTTTTTGCTGTTCAGTTATATTAAGCTCGATTAGTGAAAAGTATTCCGGTAGAAGCCTGAAAAGGCATGTGTATTAATTGGAAGTTCTAGTAAAATTATTTTGTGGTTTGAGTAAAGGTTGAGTAGAAAAAATGTAGGAATTTTCTAGAATTTTTTGAGGTGTTACGATATGTGTGGAAGGAAAGATGGGGACGTTTAATTTGTTTTCAATGCTTATATTTATGTATGGGAGGGTAATGTGTTTTATTCGGAACGTGGTTGAAGTGGCGTGCGTGTTTGGTGTGAAGTGGTTTGGTTTGGTGATTGGAGCCGGTTGTGTGTATATGTGTAGTATCGTATGGCGTGATGTATATGTGCAGTATCGTATGGTGGCGTTTATATGTGTAGTGTCGTATGGTGTGGTGTCTATGTGCAGTGTCGTATGGTGTCGTGTAGGAAGAGGAGTGTGTATTATTTGGGGGTATTTGATCTGGTATAGATAGTTTGATTGTTGGAGGGATGTGTGGGGTTCTGTGTGGGATAGTGGGAAGTGGGTGACGGAATGCGAGATTTAATGTGTGTTTAACGCTGTGGGGTGTTGATTTGTTTGTAGGATCATGTGTGTGGTGTTGTGGTTTAGGTAGTTGTATGGCATTTGGACTATAGTGTGAATTGTGAACAGGGATTGTATTGGATGTGGTTCATGGTGTCGTAGGGGGTAAGGCTTTGTGCTTACGGAGTGGGTCGGAGTTGTATACGATTTCGTCTGCTCTGTGGGTTTGTTGGGTGTATGAGGAGTGGTGTAGGTCTATATGGGTAAGTAATCGGGTGTGTATATTTTTTGCTGCCCTATACTCCACAGGGAGTGATGAGGATTAAGTAAGTAAGTAAATCGTGTGTGTATCGTCCATAAGGCACGTTTTTTTTTTTATCATCGTTCTTCCCTTTTGTGCCCAAGACACGGTGCCACTATAGAAAGCTTTCAGTAATTTCACCAATGCAGGTTTCTGGCAATTTTCTTGACATTCTCCAAGATCGTCCTGCTTTTGTCAGTTGCTTTTCTGATGTGCATCTTCACGTTTCCCTAAGCATTTTTTTTCCGCCATTCCTGTGATATCATCTGGACTCATTCTTAAATGTGATTCATCCCGCGTTATCTTATTTTTGCAAGTTTTTATTACAAAATATTATTTAGCTTTTTTTTCTTTTCTAACAGACATATTTGTTTCAAACAATTCTTAAAAACTTAATTAAGCATCCAACTTTTTATAAAACTTGAAGTCGAATGGCATTATCATGCCAAGTGTCAACGAAATTGATCGTTACAAAGGGTCAACATTTTGCTCAGCAGTTTCGATCAATAACGAACGAAGACAAAAGAAAATAAACCGGGAGTGATCTCCCCTAAACTTTCTCGAATATTTTTATATAACTTGGAATATAGACATGATTTTTAATTACTTAAACTTTTAAAAATAGAATAGAATCTCATAGAAAAAAGAATTGCGCACCAAGCGAACGCCAAAACAAGATGTGCATAATAGTACGCTATATTATTAGTACTTTATAAATTTACATGCGGTTTTTTGAGAAATCGGAAACAGCGTAAATTAGTACTTCCGGTCAACCGAAATTACTCATAATCTGAAAGAAGGTAGAGAATTAGATCTTTTACTTACGTGTGACATTTCATTTATCTATCTGAAATAGTACTCAAGTTATAGGCTTTTGAAAAATTCAATGTTGAAAAAGTACCACTTCCGGTTTTCGGAAATCGCTCAAAAGTTGATCAGGATCTACGATTTTGATAAAATACCTATATATGAAATTTCATCAACCTAGCTGTACCTGAACTCAAGTTATCGTGTTTACAGACAGACAGACACACACACAGACATACGGACAAGATTGCAAAATTATGTTTTTCCATATCAGTGAGGTGTAAAAAGTCGAGATTTGTAAAAATCTCGATTTTTTTGCACGATTACAAGACTTTCTCTATACTTCGTATATATGAGAAAGTAAAATCGACAGCTAGTTAAAGAATTTTTTTTTTCTTTTTAGTGCAATTATATTAAAACGTTTTCATGATTACTTTTCAATTATCTCGGAAACAGCGTACGTTTCCGTTTCTCCTAGTAATATATTATTTGAAATCGGGTTGTTTTGCCAGTGGATACACGTCATCCTTCTGCAGGCAGTTAGTTCAAGAGAATCCATAGAACTACTCATCATTTTACGGATCGTTACCTCACCCTGAAATATAAATAACAGACGTCGTCGCGAAATGACAGAGACCCACCATGTTAAAATAAAAGTTTCAGTATTTTACACCACACCACCCACTCACACACATACACATCTGTTTTTAATGATTCAAAGAAAAAAGCTTTTAAAAAATTGTTTTAATGAATAATAGAAACAAATTAAAAGTCTCTTCATATCACTTACAGTAGTACAGAGTTTCTTCCAGGCATGTCAAATAATTCTGGATGAAACACCGCCGTAGTACGTTTGTATAATATCTCATATTATTTCTAATGGATACCGTACTAAATAAATGTGTGTAAATAATATAAAATACATATCTGCAAAGCCACATGAAACAAAGTTTTTCTAAAAGGCTATCATTTTATATGCCCAAGTATTGTTTTAAAAATAAATACATTGACAATGTTATATAGGTATAACACTTCTAAATCCAACAGTAATAATTATTTTAGTCGTAGCATTCTAGTAGGCTTATGCCTGGAGAATAGTTACCGAATAATGAGTATGTTATAAGGATAGATGCATAAAGCCACCTGCTAACTACTTTGGGTTATACATGTCCGGGATATATAGCAATTGCCATTGTTATATCAAAGCACCCGTGAGTCGAGTTGCATCTACACCTAGAAGTAATTACACAAGTTATCTAAGCTACTCAAGTAAAAAGAAAACAATACTAAATTTATATCTCACATATGCAACAGTATAAGCATTTCCCAGTGGAAAAAGCGATAATCTACAAGTAAACTAAATTAAAAATATAAAATTTTTATCCTACACAAGCATAATGCTGTAGATTATACTGAGAACTCGACAAACTATATTGTCTGCCTAACGAATAGTCTTGTACTAAATAGATCAAAACTGAGGGGATGGCGTGGTGTAGCGGTAGACAGCGCGCTCGCTAACCCGAATATAACCCCTCCAAACCAGGCCGTGTCAGGTACTTGATAGCAAAATACGGATCTAGTGCTGGGAAGATGGTTGAGACAAATGCTCGGATACTTAATGCTAGGCCTGTCAATGAGAAGTAACTTCAGCCTGTAATGACCGTATACGCGAAGTGAAGAATTTAAAATAGCAATTTTAAGTTCTTCGTTAAAATATATTTTAATTTACAAACCAGTACTTATTTTAAAAAATCAAAACTATAAAGTTAGTTAAATATACATACATTATCAACTTACATTTACACAAAGAGATTTATAAAACATTTTATTGAAGGTAGAATTGGATCCATTTTGCCACTTAGCAAGGTAAGCAACTCATTATTTTATTGATTTACAATACCGTACGCAGTCACATCCCTTGATTTTGGAAAACAAAACCGACAAGAAACCAAAACTCATTTTACTGAAACATTATACACAGTTGGTATACAGTAACGCAGTATTCTCTCTTTCGGATGGTATGAAGTTTTGAAGGTTTTAGATTTTAGATTATGCAATTCGCTATTGGCATTTAAAGCGTTTCAATAATCATGCTAAAAGAAGACTGCCGTATGTCGTATTGATTCTACAGTTTAAAGCAAACTAAATCTATACTCATTTGGAGTCGACAAATATTTTTATACATTTACATTGCGGATTTGGTATTTAAAAAATACAGATGCTATGTATATACTTCATACATTGTATTAGATTTGAGATAACTAAATCACTGTTATAAGAACGATTATGTCAGCAGTGTAAGGGTTCCCTTTCAAACCTGTCGGTCTGACAGGAACCCGGATTCGAACTCGAGACCTACGGGCTGGCAGTCCATCTATCTACCGCTAGACCACTCCGTCCCCTATACTGTTAGCCTAGTGCGTAGTTTTTCCTTAACCTCATAGTCCAGCAACTCGTTTGTCGTTGTGATGACGGGCAGTCCATCTATCTACCGCTAGACCACTCCGTCCCCTATACTGTTAGCCTAGTGCGTAGTTTTTCCTTAACCTTATAGTCCAGCAACTCGTTTGTCGTTGTGATGACGGGCAGTCCATCTATCTACCGCTAGACCACTCCGTCCCCTATACTGTTAGCCTAGTGCGTAGTTTTTCCTTAACCTTATAATCCAGCAACTCGTTTGTCGTTGTGATGACGGGCAGTCCATCTATCTACCGCTAGACCACTCCGTCCCCTATACTGTTAGCCTAGTGCGTAGTTTTTCCTTGACCTCATAGTCCAGCAACTCGTTTGTCGTTGTGATGACATTATCGTCCGCCACAGCCGCGAGTAGATCACGTGGCAGCTGATGACGTAGGTTCTCATCAACCAACACGACAACACGATTTGGGTTAGAGGGGGAGATGGAAAAAATGGACGACTTGCAGATAAACAGAAACCAGTCGTCTGAGTTGAGGAAAGTTTTGTTGATGACAAGTAGAACCCTCCAGCTGTTTTCTATCCCTTGTATTATCCCAGTCGCCATATCTGTTGTGGGAATTAGGTCGCGGTCCTTTACAAAAGCTCTCAGACCTAAATTTTTTTCTATAAAGTGTCGCAGTTTGTGACAAGCGAAGTGATAATCTTTATCAGCATAAGCGATGAAAACGCCGATATTGTAGTCTGTAGGCTCCTTCATTACGAGCTTACCAAACAACGACATTAACGTGGAGATGATGTAAATTTTGTACTTGGATACGAAGAAGCATAAAACAAAACCTAGAACAAGAACAAAAAACAAAACAATAGACACGGAAAGAAAAACAGTATCACTACATTTTCGCCAAGTTTCTTCAAGGTTTGTAAAGGCCCCGGTGGTAGTTAACTCGCCGTCGTCGTCAATGCACTTGAAATCTCTTGAATTATCTAATGTAACTTTCGTTTCCTTTATCCACTGTAGAAACTTCAAACTGGCACAGCCGCATGATAAAATGTTACCGTCTAAAATTAATTGAAAACCATTTGCGTTAGCGGCTAACCTGTCCATTTCAACCATTTCAGTCTCACCCAGCGATACAATGGCGTTATTACTTACATCAAGTAGCTCTAGATTTGCAAAACTTTTTAAATCAAGAGGGATGTTTCTGAAGCGATTGTTCGAAAGAATAAGGTGTGTTAAATTATTATAACGAAACACGTCGTCTTGTAAACTGTCTAAGGAATTGTGAGACAAGTCAAGCTGCTTCAGTTGAATAAGGTTCTGGAGATATCTGGAACCCTTACGGGAGTTAAAATTATTGTTTAAATTACAATTCGACATTGACAGCATTTCAAGCGTGGGGACTGGATCGAAGAATGAATCGGACAGTGAGGAGACATCATTACCAGAAAGAACTAACGCTTTGAGATTAGTGAATCCGATGAACGTCCCAGTAAAACTTCTAAATCCGCTGTCACTTAGATCCAAGAAGATGAGATTATCCCCGCCGATAATCCTCACGTTAACACCAAGATAAGCTGATAAATAGAGTCTAGCCACATCGACATACCGGAGGGAAGGGGATAAGTACATTGTAAGTTGAATAGAGTTGGTTTCGTTTTGTTTTCGGATGGCAACATGTTCTGATGTTTTCTCCAGGTTATGAGTGTGTCCATCATTCCAAGATGACTTTTTTGAATATGTATCCTCTTGCAAGTATTTAGTAATATCAAACTTGATATTTGTTTTTTGTTTATAATGATCTTCATAATGAACATCACCTTGCCTTCGAACATCGAACTGGAACGCGTCGATTCGGTAATGCGACCTGAGCGAACTTCGAATCATCACCGTTTGCAGGTTTCTCATGTTGAACAGCAGAAATGGCGCAAACCTCAGACCCAGCAGTGGATTCTCAGACAAATCGATGAGCGTCAAGCAGTCTATCAACACCCCGTGTCTAAACGCGTCGATGGTGATGACGAAGATAGAACACCCGGTCACGGTGACCTCACGGATGCACGTGCGTCGCAGATGTTTGGTCGAGTTCTCGTCAATGACGCCATCTCTAGACAACATGCTGGAATAATTCTCCGTCGTGATTTTTTGGACCCGGTTCAAAACCACGTTAGTCAAGTTCCGGCCTTCAAGAGATTTGAAGCCAGCCAAGATTTTTTGGAGACCAACGGGTAGATAGATGATGAACAAGCTGTCCAGCATGGTGAGCGATGCCATTGCATCGGCGCTGAATTCCTTACCCTGAACGGGATGATCCAAATACAAGTATTGCAGATGTGGAACGTTCTCGAAACTACGACCTGTGATATTCTCCACACTCCCAGCTATGGTGAGCCATGATAACATTTCTAATTCCTTGACTTTCTCATCGAAGTATAAATCATAGCCATACACATCAATTGATAATGTAGTTAAATTATATAATCCACCAATGACGTTGCTTATGTTAAATGGCAGGTCGTCACTTACTCCTTGTTTAAGAAAAAGTTCTTTAATTGTATACTCACACAAATTTGATGTCATTGGAATACTTCTGAGATTAATGCCATTAAACTCTAAATTTAAATAATTCAGATTATACATCCATATTAAATCACTTGACTTTAATCCACGGATTAAGTTGATAGCCAGGTTAAGACGACGTAATGAAGATAGTTGGGAAAATATTGCTGGAACTTCCGTTAATATGTTATTATTTAAGATAATGTTAGTTGTGTTGCTAGGAAACCACTCCAAGTAAACTTTGCTCAGTGACCTGAACGCGCAATCAACCGTGACCTCATTTAAGTCATAACTCACAGTGCATTCGTTTGGGGGTGAGTCAGATTTTGACGTCACTAGAGTACCGTCGTGAGCCTCTACAACTGGAACAACATACACGGTTTGTGAAAGCACAACGATCCACATATACATACGTGTTAATTGCAACGCTTTAGAATCCATTGCTGAATAAACCAAAGTTATGGAAATAAAATAACACATACGTGAATGCAGAAGATCTTAACTATATTTATTTTTACAATTATCACATGCGCATCGCGATTATCAACTTCAAACATTAAAAACAAAATTTGCCCGCGTGATGATTCTAATCCTAAAATGCCTGCCTTGCTGTTTTGACTACGCGATAAGACTGCATGCTCAGCTATTCATGGACTTATCAGGGGTAGTATTTCAGAGGGGTAGTTTGTTGCTTAAATATAGTCGAGCGCAAATAAATAAGGCCTTATCTGAGTTATGTATAGGTAGATCAACAGCTATTTATATTAAATAACTTTCGGCGAAAACTAATCACTCAATTCTCTTCTAGTGGCGTCACAAGGTCGGGGGTTTCCAGAAAATTTCCAAGTTTTTTTTTTACATTTTAGGTTTGGTGTCACCCCTGTCATCCTATTATTTTGTTATTTGAACTAGATAAAGTATTGTGTTGATAGTAAATTTTTAATTTTTTTAACGTAGTGTCTATCCCAAAATGATCTCACCCGGAGAGTATTGTTACCACTCTCCCCCCACCCCCGCGTCCCACTCCCACACCCCCCCCCCGTCCCACAACTGTGCTTAGCTTTTATCAGTGGGTTTTGATAAGCTCTAGTGGCTATTTTTTTTTCTTCTGGATTCGATGGTTTAATGGTCAAAAGTTATCTGAGTGCTAGACTGAAACAAGGTTAATATATTATGCGATGGGTGCTAACGCAAGTCGTGTTTGCCATGAAATTATATGAGTGTTAAAATTGTTTGTGTGTGCTAGACTATGATCTTGGGGCTATTCTAAGTTATATGTGCTTGTCGATGATGTGCGTAGTTTTATATGTGAAGCTTCTGTATGGTACTCAGCTGTATGGAGAAAGGGTATGTGACGAAATGGAATTTCTATAGAAAAAATATACTTTTACAAGTGTCCTCCTCCCCGGGAAAATTTAGTCTGACATACGAAAATATCAAGTGCCCCCTCCCCCCCCCCCCCCCCCCCCCCCGGAGAAAAAAATCTGGTAGAAACACTGATGCCAAGGCATATATTTTTGGGCTTTTGTAGAGAAACAAAATGAACAATGAAAATTTAAATATGGGGTTTGTGGCCCTTTTTAAATTTCCCAAGACTCTTGGACAGATCCATTCCTCACTTGAATACATCTATTTATTTATTCATGATTTATGTGCCTAATAGTGTTTTTGATATCAGCTGTTGGAATTAGCTTAGATGTATATTATTTTACTCTAGTTACAATTTCATAATTTCCTTACTCTTTATTGTATTATCATATAATGCCACATACACCACATGCTATAGATACTTTTTTTTTTCTTTTTTTTTTCGCCTCAGACACGTAATTTATAGCGGCAGTTGTGTGTTCGCTTTAGTATTACAGTTTTCATCATCGGCTTGTGAGGACTGATACAGATTTACAATAGTAATATTTCTTTCTTACTTGTAGCCTACTTTTATTCATTTAAGATGGTTTACTTAAACATGCTATAGATACTGCACTAATCATCCTTCAGTGTTACAACTGACCTCATTAACCTGATTAAACCACTTCGTTCATGTCTTCGTCCACGTTATCTTTCTTATCAGTCTTTCTTCCAAAGTATAAGTTCTGATTATAATTGCGTATTATTTTCTTATCACATAGCACAGATGTGTTCACAATGTAAACGCTAAATTACACTACACATTGTGAATAGCCCATCTCCATGCCTTGGTTTATTTATCAATGCTGCCAGAACATGACTGACATGGGTATAATTTGAATTCGTGACGTCCCTTTCAACGTGACTTATCAAGGGGAGCTACTGAAATGACTGGAAAGAATTTCGCCACAAGTGTTCTATTTTTGATACTTTATCTGCCTCTAAGTAAGTGGACACTATTAAGCATTACGTGTATATTTCTTCTGCGCCTTATATGCCGTTTACTCCTATTTCAACCTGCTTTTCGATCTGAGATTCGCTTCCAGAGCCTTTGTCCAACAAAGAAAAAGCTACAATGCAGCAGTCTGTTTGATTTTGGAGTTGTCTCTCCTAGATGGGTTGCTGTCCCCAGCTAAGGTTCGAACTCGGGACTTTTCGGTTTAGCAATCATGACCGACCCGAACACGCATACACCACATACAATAATTAATATCAAACAATATAGTATTTAAATTAAAGCGGTGTTACTAAGACTGATGATCCTATATGATATTCTACTGCATTTTATGTTTGGAAAAAATTGGAAGAGTTAAAATGAGTAAATCGCTTTATTTCTCTCTAAAGGAAAATAGCAGTGCCAAATAATGCAAATAAAAAATGTTCTTTACTATAACTGTATGTAATAAATTTGTATTGAGATATACATATAGTTTCTCTCTCTGAATGAAAATAGCAA